ATACAAAATATAAGTATATAAAAAATACATACATAACTATGTATATATATATATATATATAATTATATTTATATATGTTTATATACTTATAAGTGTATACTCTAAGTATATACATATATACAGGTATATAAGTATAAATATATATATATTAACTTAATACTTATATTATATAATTATAAATATATAAACTTATAAGTTATAAGTATATACTTAATAATTATATACTTAATGTATACTTATACATACTTTTATATGTATTATATATGTACATTATGTGAATATATGATATTTGTATATATAATATATAGTTATATACTTACATATAAGTTTACAACTTATATACTTATATGTAAGTATAAACTCATAATACTTATAAGTTATATCTTTTTCACAAAACTTTTTAGTGATTTTTTAACAAAAATTTACAACGATCAAAAAAAAAAAAATCCAAAAAGTTACAAAAATCAAAATTTATATTGATTTCTTTGTTAAAAAACACAATTTTCAATTCAAATTTTTTTTGAAATAAAATAAAATAAAAACCGGGCTCGCCCAGTGCCCATCCTACATTCTGCCTGAAACCTGGATCCTAGCCCAGCCCCACCCCGCATTCTGCTTGAAACCTAGATCCTAACCCAGTCCAGCAGCTCCAAGACCCGGAGTTCTGGACTAGGCCTGGCCCGGTTGGTTTGGACACACCTACTATAGACACTATGAAAAGACTATGTTTTAAGGGCAAGAGAAATCTAAGCGTGAAAATGGCTAGAGCTTAAGGAAGGGTTGAACAGATGAAACCAATTTTTGTTTTGCTTCATTTAATTAAGATTCTTGTTAGATAGAGAGAGATGGTTTTTTTTTTGGGTTGGGTGTGGGGTGGGGGTTTGATGAGATGATTAATTTGTTTCAAATTCTGTAGTTTTCAGCGGCAGTAGACTCGGGGATAATTGCGTGCGTGTGCGAGAGAAGAAGTCACAAGTGGAAAATGAAAGGTTATGTCTGGCGTTTGTGTGTTTTTATTTATTTATTTATTTATTTATTTTATTTACTTCATTGTGATCCATTTGGAGGTCTAATTATTTTTTGTGTTAAACTGAAGGTGGAAAAATATTTTATTCATCGTTCTGAAAACTGTTTGGACTTATAAAATAGTTTAAGTGATTATAATTTAGGTATGTGCGTGTCCCTCAAATCTTCAATAATTCTATATTACTTCTTTAAATCTTTGAAAATGCACATACATCCCTCAAATCCTTTAAGGTCTACGTTATGCCCCGGGCCTACAGGGCCCATTGACACGATATAAACTGTGAGGTCCACTGAATGTATCACATTGTTTGGTTCAAAACACTATCACAATAGTTAGTCAATGCTATATTTGAAATGCAAGACAATCATTTAAATCATAGGAGCTCTCTTTATTTTCCACATGCAGGACAATTGGTTGGGGTATCATTGTCTTGCAATTCGTTTTCTCAATAACCAAAATATCTCTCGGCTAATTTTTTAAAATACAAGAGGGCTTCAAAGGAAAACATAAACTGAGGGATGCTATGGTTATTGATGAACCAAATTGTAAGACCCTGTAGGTTTTGGAGGACTTAGAAGAAGGCCCGGCTTTGGGGCTGTGCAAAATGAGCGACCGCACATGGCCCCAAAAAATTGGGGTCCCCAAAATATCCCTTCACCTATAATATCTACCGTTCATTCTACTTCTCAATTGAATCTTGGTCGTTCATTCATATTCAAAAACCCTAAAATCCCTTCAAGGCTTCAAGTCCTCAATCCCAAAAGCTCAGCCCCCAAAATCCACTGAGCCCCTCTCCTCCGTCTGGACCGTCTCCTCCTCTCTTCTGCCACAGACCCCGGCGAATCCGCGATCACCGTCACCAGACCTCGCCGCTCGCCTCGCCTCGTCGCCAGACCTCGCCGCTACGTCGCCGATCGCCACCTTCGGAGTCTCGCGTACTAGCGACGCTAGACTCGAGATCGAGCCTCACGATAGCCAGTTTGCCACCAAACGAAACCTCGCTGCCCACGAATCACGATCGCTCGCTGCCCACGATCGCCAGACCTCGCCGCTCGTCACCCGCCGAACCTCGCTCGCTGCTGCTCGCTGCCGAACCCTCGATGATCATCAGGTAACTCTCCAGATTGGAGGTGGTATGTACAATTTTCTAACTTTATAACTTAAAGCAATTTTTTGTTTTTTTTTTCTTTCAAAATTTGCATCAATATTGTAATTTTTCAGTTTGCAAAAAAAATCCCTAATTTCGGTAGACTGTAGTGCAGGATCAATCATCAAATTTCTATTGATGAGTGTACAACCACATTTCTGATAATTGATAAAGAATATGTTTTTTACTTTCTTGAGTGCAAATAGATTTTTAATGTGTACACTGTAAGTCTGTAAATTAATTTGCACTCTGTACTTGTGAACACAACATATATGTGCTATTTTGCTAGAATTATTAGTCTGATGTTTGTTATCGGTTTTGGGGGGAATGGGTTTTTCCATAGTTTGATTGCTGTTATGTAAAGATTGGAAAGATTTGGTCTTGGTGGACTTTACAGAAAAATTATTGCGAAAGATTCATTGAAAAAAAATGTTTTCTTTCTTGTGTTTATAAGCCATATTGGCTTGTTATTGCAAGGTTAGAAGGTTTGAGATATTATAATTTTTTGAAATCATATTCATTTGAATGACATACCGCATACTAGTTACTGGATTCATGGGTTCCTTTTATCACCCTTTTTTCTATATGTTTGCCTTAGTATATGCATTGAATAGTAGGGATCACAGTGGCTTTTTGTTATCGACTGCCAAGAGTCATTTTCCACCTTAACTTTGTTTTTCATAGCTAATTTGTGTGTATTCATGTACCTCCATTATTTTACGTTTATAGTAAGTCATTAATAGCTTGATTGCTCTTTGAGTAGATTTGGACTTGATCCCAATGCTCTTTGAGTAGATTTGTCACCAATTGTAACAAATAGATTTTTGTTATCGACTGCCAGAAGTAACTCTTGTTTCACCCATTCTTTTTGTTATTGCAGGATTTGTTAAACTGGTTCCTAATAAACTTTTTGGCTCTTAAACTTCAGGGATCAAGGAGAGTTGGAGACACGTCGTCGAAGAAGTCTCGGTCAGGTTGTATTGTTTCGAATCTTTCGGCTTCTTTCAATTTGATTGTAGTATTTATTGTTTTATTATAGAAATGCCTCCAAGAAAGTATCCTTCTGGATATGATAAACGCAAGAAAAAAAGAAAAATTGAACAATTTGTCCAAACGCTTGAAATAAGAGAAGCACTACTTCAGTTAGCAGAAACTGATAATGACTCTAAAATAAGAAGTGAAGCAGATTCTTTAGCAACACATGTAATTGGAAATTTTGAATTTTTATTAAGTATGATTATTTGGTATGATATATTGTTTGCTGTTAACTTAATTAGCAAATTTTTACAATCTAAAGACATGCTTATAGATATTGCTATAGATCAAGTAAAAGGATTGATTAGGTTTTTTGAGGATTATGGAGAAGTTGCGCTCACACAAGCTATGACAATTGCTAAAAAAATTACAACTGAAATGGAAATTGATTCTGTATTTCAAGTAAAACGTCAAATCCGTAGAAAAGGACAATTTGATGAGAATGTTAATGAGGATACAACACAATCAGCTGAAGAATCTTTTAGAATCAATTATTTTTTGTATATTGTAGATCAAGCTATTGGTTCACTAAAGAAAAGGTTTGAGCAATATAAAGCATATGAAGATATTTTTGGATTTTTGTTTGGTTCAGAAAAGTTAAATTCATTAGATGATAATAATTTGAAAGCATGTTGTGATAATCTTGAAATTGTTCTAAAATATAAAACATTTTCTGATCTTGATGGGAAAGATTTATTTGGAGAACTAAAAATCTTACGAAATATTTTACTAAAAGAAACAAAGATGACTATTGATATACTGAATTTCTTAAAAATACAAAATTGTTTTCCAAATACATGTATTGCTTATAGAATATTATTGACTATACCTGTTACAATCGCATCTGCAGAAAGAAGTTTTTCAAAATTAAAATTATTAAAATCTTATCTGAGATTGACCATGTCACAAGAAAGACTAAATGGGCTAGCTTTGATATCTATTGAAAATGATTTTATAGATAAAATTAATGTTAAAGGCTTAATTAATGATTTTGCAGCTAAAAATGCAAGGAGGACAATTTTTCGATGATACTTTTTGATGCTAAAGGCTTTGATGTCTCTTATGAAGGTAAGCACAGATACAAAAGGAACATAATATGCAAGTATTTCTTATTGTGGACTATTTGTTCTATTGGAAAGCTTTATTAAGATGAGATTACATGCATTTATCTAATCAGTAACATTTTATTCAGGTGACCGAAGAGATGAAGAATGGACAATAGCACTTGAAAAGTATGTTAAAGACTATCCAGATGTAAAAAAATCAGGTAATATTTTAATGTCTGATCAGTAATATTTTTTCCCTAGCATTTTAGGGATTCAAATTGAAAATTATTGATATTTTGTATATAGAGAAGAGCCTGTGTTTACTTTTCGCACAGGGCCCCTAAAATCTCAGAACCGGTTAGAAGCATTTAAAAGCTTTGACGGAATAATATGTATTTGTTAAAGATTTGAGGGACTTATATCTAACTAACTCCCTTTCTCATCGGTCTTGCATTTCCTTTGTTTCTTCTCCACATTTTAGCTTAGGCCTCTCTATTTTCTGGCTCTTATTTCTTGCTTAATTTTGCATTGTTCCATTAAACTCTTCTTAAAAAAAGGAAAATTGCTTGTAGCAACTTCAAAAAATAAACTTATGCATCCTCCTCCCGAACAAAAAGTATCATACTTCCCCTCTCTTATATGGATAATTTTGTACTACCACCCCAAGGGTGTATAAGCCCACAACCCACTAAGAAACTTCTCAAAATACCTTTCCCATTTAAAAACTAAAATACAGTTTTTCTGTTTATGCACATTTCTCATAATCCCCTGCAACTCCTATTTCTCTAAGCTCTCCCCTCTTCTTCTTAAGATCCCACTCTGACGCTACTGACGAGAACCCCACCGACTGCCGACCACAAGCTCTTCGTCTTCGCCCGTCTTTGTCTTTGATCCCTACGATGAGGTAAAAGAAGCGATTACTCCCTCTTTGTCTTCACTTTGTCTTCGTCTTCACCCCTTCGGCGAAATCAAGGAAGAGCCCATCGACCTCAAGCTCTTCGTTTGCAGCCTCGGCTCTCAAAGATCAATTGAACCAAACACTCAATTCTAAACCCTCGGTTTTTGGAGAAAATATAGCATAGCGAAATCAAGTTTATCATCTGGATCAACAATAATAAAGGATGACTTGTAAGTATCAATTCTGAACCCATTGTAGAATTGAGTGAATCTATCCACTTTTGTTCACTTTTTTGTTTGCCATGGTGTATTGAGTGAATTTATGGCGATATTCAAACAAAATCATTTACTTACAATTGCAGTTATTTATTTGCAATCTCGGTTTTAATCTTCTTTGGGTCTCATAATGATGCACAAGTAATTTGCATGTTATATTCTCTTGTGTTTTGCAGTAAGGGCGATATAAGAATATGCGCTAATATATGAAGTTATTGTGAAGTCATGGAAAAAATTGTTCCATGAATGAGGCCCGATCATAAAAATGCTTGTGCATCCTCAAATTTTAAAAATTATATCAGTTTTGGAGCAATTCCATCAGACAGAGCAACAATCATACTACTCATTAATCACCTTGATTTTGCTACTAGGAAGTTCTTTTTCAAGGATAATCAAACAGGGAAAACACAAGCGTATACATTGACATGAATTAGGTGCAAAAGCAAACTTGGTTCAAGGATGAAGGGGAGAAATTAGAACCCAGTCGTGATACGACTAATAGAATTTGGAGTACCTACTTCAATAAGAAGAAACAAAATCCTTACAAAAGTGGCTAAGAATATCTTGAACACTTATTAGAGAAATTGGTTAGGTCCAAAAAGAAATTTGATATACATGATTTTGTGATGCTTCAAAGCCTTTACCAACTTAAAATGATATAGACTCCAACTGTAAGAATGAATGTAACATGACATATGTTCAAGTATATGACTCATATAGATGTAGTAGATAATTTCCCATGGGTGACTGTCATATACAATGAAGTGTGGGATTCACTAAAAGCTGGGAAGATAGCTACAAAGGGACTGACATACTTAAATGGCTATGCTTCCTTACTATCGGTGAGTAAAAAGTTAATTATGTTGTTATTTGTGATACTTGTAGTTAAAATATGACTTTTGTCTCTCATTTGTGATATTTATCTTTTACCTGTGACTTATATTACTGATATGTGACATTTATGAGTGGACTGTTGCATTTAGTTTTAATCTGTGATAGTTATGTTTAGTGATATGAAATATTAGTAAACTGACTTGATTGATTGATTGTTACTTTTTTGAAGCTATGGTACTATGAGACACGAATATCAAAGAATATATTAGAGTCAAAGATTTGAAGCCACCAATAACTAATTAGACTTTGAAAGGTAAGAAAATGGGTTCATTACAAAGTTCGACAATTATGAAGAAGTCAGAAGCTGCAATCCACATCTTATCTGAGCAAGATATGTTGCGGTATATTCATGAGGAGATCAATCAAGAGCCTACAAGTAGGAAGCCTAAAAGAGAGGAGAAATCAGACTCTGAAAAGCTCTTTTAACAAAAAAGTTAAAAAAGAGGAAGGAAGTCAACCCACTATTACATAGGTGAGATAAGTTTATTTTTTATCATATAATGTTTATTCCTTAAGTATGATTATCTTGTTCGTATTCCGTGCTCTTTTTTCTAACAATTATCTGTGACATTTACATGTTGATAGTGATAATAGTCTTTTTATTTGATTTTTGTTTATTCCATGTGATTCTTAAATGTTGGCCGTGATAATAGGTGGTATTTTGTGACCTTTACCTATTTTCTGTGACATTTACATGTAGACTGTGATACTGTAACATCCCTGTTTTCACACATGGTTGCAGTCCAAGATAAACCCAGAGATGTTAAACCTACCATGCACCCACACTGTACAACAACAAATTTTACTAATCACATCAATATCCTTTAGCAGAATCAAAATAAAGTGCAGGTACAAAACATGCAAAAGAAAGGAAATAACTACAATAAACATGATATAGAAAGAAGTATCTCATAAATAAATCATGTCTTAATGAACAACCTGGAATACATCTGATATCCAAAATAAATAAATATGTCTTGACAAGAAACAACTGAAAATCGTACTAAGGCACACTGTCTTTACACTATGAAATAAACTCTAAGGTCTGAACAAAAATATAAAACTACGATGGAGCCTCTAATAAATCTCATGTGACAACGACTATGAAAGAACTCCGTCATCCTACGATTCTCCGATACTCCGAATTACCTGAAAGAATACTAGAAGATAAAGAGCAACAACAAGAGCATCAGAGCGCTATAGCAAGATCACCTCCATCCGCCCCCAGGGGAAGGACTGTTAGATGGAGTGGAGGCTCTATCTATTAAGCATAGTTTACCTAGATTATTTTTTCTCGTATCTAATGGAATTAATATTTAGACACCTACAATACTAGACGTAGTATGTCGAGCAAAATAATCCAAACAAGAAAACCTTTATATATATACCATATGTCCCGAATTATAGACGCCTAAATATTAACACCGAACTAGGGATAAACAATCTAAATGGAATCAACAATTAGAAATCCATAACACGAGACTGGTACGTCGAGCGAAATAATCCAAACAAGGAAACTCTCATGTATATACCATATATCTCAAATTGTGAATCGCTAATTATTGATCCCAACTAAGAAAATAAAGAAAAGCAATAAAAGAAAGTAAAGACATTAACATATCGTATTCATAATATATTCTACTGTTACTAGGAAGATAGTATGAATACCGACACAAATCCTGTGTACTTTCAAATGCAAAGTACTCTGGATCATATATTTGCAGTGAGTCAAAAATATAACTGGCATCCGCCAATGACTCAGGCTATCATTTAACTATCTTAATGCAACTCCATGCAAGATTTTGATACTTATCATTATCATGTGCAACAGACTACATTGTAGGTATCCTAATCAGTATACACGGTTATTTAGTCTCAACACGATCTCAGCGCTTAACATCAGTACAGAACGACCTACCATATAAGTATCTTAGAAGTACGGCTCACAAGCCTCATCGCACACTCGTGCAGACAGACTGCTAGATAAAGCATCCAAACCTGACTCAATGGAATGTACAAATAGAATATCGACGCACTACCCCAGTAGTATTGAACTAAGCTCATCAACAATATCCGGAAGGTGTGTGTATAATATGTACTAAACTCTTTCTTAAAGTAATCGGGTCAAAACCCATCATAATTCCTTTCAACATACCCATGTGTGTGCTACTATACTATTCGTGAATTTACGTATAAAAAAGTACAGCTTGAAATCCGCAAACATATCTCAAACAGATGCAAAATAAAAATTTAGGCAACAACCTTAGTAATCGACTACTAGACTTAGTAGTTGACTACACTGAGTCCATCCAGACTCTGTAATAACATATATCAGTATCAGTAGTTGACTATTAAGAATATTAGTTGACTACTCTGCAAACACACAATTTTTGTTTTACTCAACTGGGCACGAGTAGCCGACTACTAAGCTTAGTAGTCGACTACTCTGTCAAGACACACATTCTTTCGTGCACAAATAGTACTTATGTCAATTGTACATATCATGACGTTAAAACGAGATTTTATACTTGGCATATACAACAGGAATTATCTGAATCATCAAATTAAATGATTATATCTTCCAAATTAGGGTTTAACATCCTAATTAAACAATTTCTTTAATTATCTCATATGCAAAGTGATTATCAACACATGATAAAAACTACTCATGAACAGAGATAAAATTCATTTAAACATATTTATCTTACTTAGGTATCACAAACCTAGGGTTTAAGCATGATTAATTAACATGAAAACTCAAAGAAACATTCACATAATATATTAATTATTTCAAATTAGCATATTTGCAGTATTCTACAGAATATATCATTAGTAAATTGAGCATGTCTTTCTCTATAAAAACTCTTTCTTATAATGGTTTTTCATTTTGGAAAATAGGTTCACATAGCTTTCATTTGACACTAGTTTTGTTCAGTTTGGAGTTTATATGATATCTTAAATTTTTAGTTAAATGTTATACACGTGCAGCAGTTTTGTGTAATCTATGATGAAAACAAAAACTAAACCTCTTTATAATTCAATTAGACAACAAATTAGGGTTAACACACGAGTTAAATATAATTATCAAGTTAAAAAAATAAAAATTTAATCACCCCTAATAATCATGATCACGTTACTATCATAAACAATTAGAAAAAGCTAATGATCTAGCATTGGGTTAAGATTTATCATCAAAAATCTTATCTTTTTCATATTAGGTTAAGCCTTAAGTATAAAAATATTGATTAAATACTTTTATAATCATTAAACACTATGTGGATGGGTTTGGATGTAGATGATCTTTCCTTATCACGTGTGTAAGCCTCTGAAACTGATGTTAAATGACTCCTCATCGCCAAACGTCGTAGATCTCACCTTTTCCTCGCTTCTCGCCTCACAAGACGCTCCCAAAATCTCAACTTTAGGGCTAGGGTTTGAGAGAGAGGAAGAGGGGCTGCTAAGGTTTGAAACTCTGATAAAAATATGATAATTTTCATGAAAATATATGTATATATATATGCAAACCCGAAATAATTCCGTTTAACCCGAACCAGGAAACCTAGTCTGACTAGGAAAATAACCTTCGGTATTTTGATTGTAACTTTCTCATCCGACCTCGGAATGAGGTGATTTAAGATTTATTGGAAAGCTGTTGAAGAGACCTACAACTCTATCTTTAAGTTTTCTAGATTTAAACTGCATTAGTGTGTAAAATATATAAACTCTTAATTGGTTATTTTTCCAGATTTCTCTTCATGCATGTTTTGTGCATTTGCACTCATATATTCATAAATATACATTAAATTATTCTCAAATCAATTCCTATCATACTCAAACATTAAAACATATTATATTTTTATCATATAATATATTTATTATTATTTTGCACATAATATTTAAAATTTTAGGGTTTTACAGATACATAGTCATTTATGGCAATTAGTTATTCCCTGTGATTTTTACCAGTTGATTGTGATAAATGAAGTGCTTATGTGATATTTATGGTAGAATGAAGCTTCTTATATGTGACATTTATATATTACCTTATTATATATGACATTTTCTCACTAAAATTTAATTGTCAATGTAGAATGAAGCTTATGAGAAGGTGTCAAATATTGAATGAAGCTTATAAGAAAGAACTCATAAGAGTCGGCATTGATCCGAAGGCTATTAAGGATGATATTGAAAAAAGGTTCGCACAACCGAAAACAAGATAGAGAAAATAAAAATGAGAGAAAAATGAGAGTCGAGGAGATGAGGAGGTAAGAATTTTTCTCCTATTTCATGTACTCGTTTGTTCTCTAAAATATTCATTTTAGTTGTGACATTTATGCAGCCTGAGGTAGAGGTAGAGAGAAAATATGAGCCAGAGAAAAAAATGACCAAGGAAAATAAATGGAAGAAAATAGGATGAAAGAGCAAAGATTTCATGAGAAGTTGAAGAGCTAACAATTTCCTCTGATTTTAACTTATTTCCCATGACACTTACATAAATCATGTGATAATTACTTCTTTCCTATGATTTTTACATATTACCTGTGATAATGACTTATACGACGTGACATTTACTTATTACCTGTGAACATAACTCTTTTCTGTGACATATATCCATCAGTTGTGATATATGCATGTCCTATGATATTTATATATTTTTTGTGATACTTCCTCATTATTTGTGATAGATGACTCTTTCTTATGACATTTGCTTATCTCTTGTGACACTTACTTACTTTCTGTAACTTAAAAACTTTGCCTGTGACATTTGCTCATTATTTGTGATAGATGACTTTCGTTTGTGACATTTGCTCATCTCTTATGACGTTTACTTATTTTCTGTGACATACACTTATTAACTATGATATGTAGCCATTATTTGTAACTTTTAACTATTAATATCATATTTATTTCATGATATATTCAATTTATTTGTGATCTTTATGTAGCTTGTAGATGTGAAAATAACTATGGAAGCCACTGAAAAGAAAAAGGAAAGGAAAAGGAGGAAGGAAACTGATAAAACATCGAAAGAATTTATTTAGGGGTTACGAGAAAAGAACAAGAGAATAACAAAGAAGCCCAAGTCTTTGGATTCTCCTTTCAAAACAATTATCCCTAAGAAACAAACTAAAGTGAAGAAAGCTCAAGTCATGGTGGAAGATAACAACGACAAGAGGGAGAAGGAAAAGGAGAAAGAACTTGCAATTGCATATGCCGATACGAGAATATCTATCGAAGACTTATGGAGAAGAGACAAATTTAAAGAAGAAAAGAAATTATTGGAGATGTTGATTATGGGTATTCTTTTTCCGAATAACTTGGATATCAGACCTCCGGGAGTCATCGAAGATGGATTTTATCATAATTTCACCGTTCAGAATGTAGCTTATTATCTGATAATGTGAACAAGTGGCTTCAAAATTTCTGACATTAAATGTGGACAAGTAAGTATCGGGTAGTTATTTATGAATTTCATATGAGATATTTGCAATTTTATGTGATTCTTGTTTATTCTATGTGACTCTAATATATTGGTTAGGATATATAGTGGTTTTCTATTACCTTTACTTGTTTCCTGTGATATTTACATATAGTCTATGATACATAATCTTACTCCTTATGACACTTATCAGTTGATTGTGATAAATAGTTATTTTTTGTGATTTTTTATTAGTTACTGTGATACTTATACATTGATTGTGTTGTGCATATTATATAGAAAGAGGACTGTTTATAAGGTCAACAACCATAGTATAAATAGATATAATATGCTTCATCTGCTACATGGTGGAAGATTAAAGGACGATGTAATATTTTATTTAACTTGTGGTGTTATTCAAATTCTATACTTATACATCGATTTATTGCATTTGTAATTGTTAGACTATTGAAGCGTTGATTGCATGACTTTAGAAATGGCTAAAGCTGCCAGAAAATGCGAAACTGAAAAAAAATTTGCAATAATCATATCATACTTTAGTGTGAGTAATATCAATCATAAAGCTTGAACAAGTAATGTTGCATTTATATCTTATTTGACTTTCTTCGTCTTTATTTTTAAGATTTGGTTGCTAACTCCTTTAAAAGTGGATGAGAAAAATGTTTATGGAAAGTATATAAAGAAGCATATAGATGACGGGGACATTCTGTTAATTCTAATATGTCACACTAATCACTGGCATGTCCTTGATGTTAATTTGGGGCAAAAAATGTAGATATTACAGTTCTGCTGACCATGAGACATGGGCTAAAGACGTTGTGACAATCCAGCTATTTTGAGATAGGATGGTAAGTAAATTCGACCAGGTGTCGACATTCAGAGCATTCTAGTATGAAGTCATTCCTAGTCGAAAACGAAAAGGCTCGTAAGTTTTTCTAAACTGCTGATACTTATTAGTTTATTAATTATTGTGATACTTGTTCCTTATCTGCGATGCATAATCATTATTGGCGATATTTGCTCATTTTATGTGACATTTATATACTGGTTGTGATATATACTCATTATTTGTGACTATTTATTATTATCTGTGAGCCTTATAACTTTACTGTGATGCTTAGATGTTATCTATGATGTTTTTGTATTTCCTATGACTTTTACACATTTAATCTGATACATAATCATTTTCTATGACATCTTATTTATTTGATGTGATAGTTATGCATTAATTGTGATACATAGTTTTGTTTGTGTTTTTTGTTAATTGTATATGACTGTCACTTTACCTCTTTTCTTTCTAGGTACGGTTGTGGCATGCACACATATTTATACATTAAAGGGATTTTAGAAGGAAAGGAGGTGATGGATATTGAATCTTGTGAAAGGGAGTCTAAAAGATTAAGAATAAGACTTGCTGCTCAAATTACATGTGAAGGTTGAGAATTGAAGAAGCTGGGACTGAAGTTAGATGCAAATAATCTAGAATATCTTTTGTATTTTGGGGATAAATGATGTACCATTTATTGAGTAGAAGTATTAGACAATATAACATAACTCTATGCTGGATATGATGAATTCTTTTGTAATTTTTTAGACTCATGGTGACAATGATGAAATCTGCATTTGTGATTACTCCATGAGCTTTTCTTTAGTTGAATATAGAATCTGAAATTATAAAGCTTACATGTGTCACTGTTAATACCAATAAGTCACACAAACATCTAATATGTAATATTTAATACACAAATATCAAACCAAAATGACAATAGTAACATATAATAGACAACAGTTCAAAAGAGTTTGAATTCTGCTAGGAAACATCAGTCTTGGATAGGTTCAGTGCATGTGGCTCGGTTATGTCCTTCAATATGACATCTTGAGCATTTAACTGGACGTCTATTCTCAGATCGGTTGTTGATATGTCTATTCTTGTTTCTTCTACATATTGTTGTGGTCTCTGGGGGAAGTATGTTAATTATTTCATCGGTGACCTTTGGCTTATCGTAATTTAGAATAGAAAAGACAATTGGTTCGTAACTTTTGTGAAAGCTTTATTCATTATGAACCAATCACAATAGTTGTACACATCTCTATACATAAAGTTAATAGCAGCACACACATGTGTACATGGTATTCGTAACACATCCCATGCACAACATGTGCAATATTTTGTGTTCTAAATCAACTTCTATTAATTTTTGAGATGATACCTCAAAGATTTCAGCTATCAAATGTGAGACTTCAAGAGTGCTTCCCTTCTTATAATTTGCTTGCAGAATTTTTTCGCTTTAGGACATAGACAACTACTACATTTTATTGTCATCTCATAGCAAGTATTCATCCTTTCCATAATTTGCATACGAATGTGATCCATCATATCGCAAATAGAAAGTGTTCTCGTTATACAAATCCAACTGTTAAAAGATTCAGCAACATTAAAAATGATATGACTATATCTGTAACAAATAAACATCATATGTAGCAAACAAAACGTAAGTGAAATTACCCTAGAGGGGGGTAAATAGGGTAATGTGCTAATCTAATCCGATATTAATGTCAATTAAAAACTTATTAACAAAATGTCCTAGCAAGAGTAATATACAAAAGAGTATATGCAAGGATATTAGACTAAAGGTGAAATAAACATATACAAGATAAAACAAGATAGGTAATACAAACACACTATATGATCACGGAGTTCAGTCACTTTTGACCTATGTCTCTGCTCCCCACTAATGGGGATAATCCACTATCACAATCGGGTTTTTAACGTTCATCTAAAATGTTTACAATCGGTTTTTAACGTTCACCGACAAACGTTTACAACACACACAATGTAAACACACTCTACACCCTCTAAGTGTTGGTCTAGCCCATGTCGTCTTCCTTAAGTGTTCGGAATTACTACCTCTCACTAGGCTTTACTACCGACGTCACTCCTCTTGGAATCGACCCCGTCTCTCACCACACACTCATCTCGGTGTACAAGTGTATTACAAAGTGTAGCTCACAAATAAGCACAATAACAAATGTTTGTTCTCTTAAATGGATGAGAACTCTATGTAAGCTCACTCTTAATGAATACAATCCCACAACCCAATTATACAATATGTGTAAATCTACTAAAGCTCAATGGTTGTGTGTGTAAACAATAAGAAATAACAAAATCAAACTCAAATTGATCTAACAAATATAAATATAACAAATGAAGGATAAACAAGCTAGACAATTGAGTTAGAAAAACTTCTCTATAACAAGAATGAGAAATTGGAAGATTGAAACCCCAAACGAATTTGATCTCCTCTTGTGAAACTTTCTTCACATGAAAACTTTTGAGAAACAAACTTTAAACAGCCTTAAAAACTTTGTAAACCTCTTTTAAAACATTTTTGGTAGTTTGGAATGTTAAATGCAATAGGGTATATATAGGGTAGAAGAACCCAGCCCAAGAAGTACATAAAAAACCATAAAAAATCATAAAACAATAAAATCTGGAAAATAGCCATTACTGTGCAACAACTAGTTTATAAGTCGACTCATATGTTATAAGTCGACTTGTTAGTGGTATAAGTCGACTTAGCATATTAAAACACTATTTGTATAATAGTTTGTAAGTCGACTTGACAGAGGGCATAAGTCGACTTAGTATAAGTCGACTTACTAGAATAATAAGTCGACTTAGCAGATAATTTATACTAATTCCAGAGAAGATCATAAGTCGACTTATCAGTGCTTATGAGTTTATGAATGTGCACATGTACGGTGCATGTTTGAAAATTGAGTTTTTGAGTGTTTTTAAAAATAGTAAATAAATTCCAAAAAATATAAAACTTTAGAAAATATTTATAAATATAAAAATAAACATGTTACAAATTTTTTTTTTAATTTTCACTTTCCATTTGTAAAATCTCATAATTTTACAAAACACTCAAATACATGTTTGTATAAACACTTGATTTTTAATTTTTAACTTAAACAAAAGTTTGAAAACTTTTGTATGGCTTTATAGACTTAGAAAAAGATATAAATCAAGTCCATAAACCAAAAACACAATGTTTTATCAAAAATACATATATTATGCAATCTTTCAAAATAATAAACATGATTTTAAATTTTACTAAAATCATATCAAGCATGTATAAATATTAAATGAATATGAGTGTATACAATTTGTATTCATTTGTTTCATATTTATATGGCCAAACATATTATTTCAAAAACAAAAACAATAAATTTGAAATATAGAAGTATATAAACAAGTATATTTATTTCATATTTATATAAACTTAAAAGCTATGAAACGAAAACTCTGTGTGTGAGTAATGTTGAGCTCTTAAGTATTAACACACAAGTATAAACCCTAAACTAATTTTCCCAAGCTGAAAGATCTTCAATTTGCTCGTCTTGGTAAACATAAATGAAGCTTGAACTTGAATATTTGACTTGAATTGCGAATTGCTTCATTCTAATATTCCTTCCATCCTCCAATGGATATGATCGTGTAGGCACAATCCAACTAACCTCCAACATCGATGTTTGTCAGAATACCTAATAAAAATTACAAATACTAGACAAAAAATGTTAGAGATTATTTGTAAATCATCATCAAAGCAAATGTACTAACATAAAGTATCACCAATAATTGATATGAGTCACATATAACTGCTACAGGTCACAATTAACACACAAGGTCACAAATAAACACTTACAGTCACATATAACTGGTATAAATCATAGTTAACAGACACAAGTCACATATAATAGGTATAAGTAATAGTTAATAGAAAAATATCATATATACTAGCTGACAATGATATGTAACTGGTATAGGTCACATATAACTCAGAACATCACAAATAAAATCCGGAAATCACCGATAACTGCTAAATGTATCACATAAAATGACTGAACATCATAGATAACAACTACGTATCATAAGTACATCTGGAGTCAGCAGTAACTTCTAAACATCATAGAAGACGGCTGGTAGTCACATATAAAAGCTATAAGTCATACACGGGTGCTAGGTATCACTAAGCAAGGTTAGGTATCACACGTAAAGTTTAATGCTCACAGTTAAATTGATAGTATCATAAAATTTGACATACCTTATACCACGAATACAGAATTCGCCAAATTATTTGGACCATAACCAAGAGCTATTTGGTAAGCTCTATGATCCATCATCCTAATCTCATGAAACACGGCTTAAATTCTTTTTCTGTATACTTGCATACAGAAACTCTAATAATTTTAAAATCCATTGATCAGTACTTGAGGCAAAACCCATCTCTCTAAGCTTTAATTTTGCAATTCTTAACTAGATAAGGTGCACATCTGGAAATATTTTTTTTCAAAGATTCATTTGTCAGCATCTGACAAAATGACTAGAGGATGAGTTAGATTATACGGTTCTGTTTGATCGTACAAAATATACCGCAACCCATGAATAAATCAACTCTAATTCATTTCATTTTCTTTGTTACAAATAAGAAATCCTGATGGAAATATGCCTTGATCATTATCGTAAGCAGTTGCACCTAATAAGATTCCTTTGTAAATATCTTTCAAAAAGGTCCCATCTAGAAATAGCAATAGCCTACATTCCTTGAAAATTCCCCGTACGCATGCACTTTAGGAAACAAATAAATACTTGAATCACCTTTCTTCTTGTTAATGATGACAACACTGTCTGGATTTGTTTCCATCACCTTCATTTTGTAGTTTTAAATGATAATTAACTTGTTAAATGATGAATAAGTTCTAAAGGTCGGATACAAGATCTAAAGGTCACATACAAGATCTAAATATCGCATATAAGATCTAAAACTCACATATAAAATCTAAATGTCACATATAAGATCTAAAATGTCACATATAAGATCTAAAAGTCATATATAAGATCTTTATATCACATATAAGATCTAATGGTTACGTATAAGATCTACAGGTCATATATAAGTTCTAAAGAACACATCAACAAACTAATGGACTATCTAGGATAGTAAACCATATGAATGTTTTGCGCAACTAAATTTTTGGTCCTTTGTTGTCTCCTTAGCACGCCAAGCTTTAGAATAATTAACTTTTAAGCCATATTGAGAGTGCAATTCCTTTCTAATATCAGTTGGGGTGATATATGGACGCTTCTTCATAATTGATTGTAGCATACTCGCAATTCACTATCTCGATTCTATAGAATGACTAGCTATGTTATTATGTTGTCCTCAAGTATGTTGATGAACAAATTTTTTTTATAGCAAAGGTTGGGCACATGGCTCAATAGTGAAGCGTGAAGCACCCACAGGCAATTTGTTTCTTTCTTGAACGTGCAATTAGCACGAATGTATTTTGGCTCATTATTAACATATTTATAAGAGAACTTATTAGCTATAGAGTAGTATGTAAGAGTCATTCTGACTTCTCTTGTGCTTTCAAATTGCTACCATTCTTTAGTTAATTGCGTCGTGCCACCATGTTAGGATTCCTGTTGAGTCACTTACTATATCAGTCATCATCCACACATGCTCTCCTTAAGAATTGTTATTTGGGATCCTCTCTGATTTCTGGATATGCTCCGATGACTGTGAGTTTACAGTAGGAAGACTGCAAGTTG